GGAATAGAAAATAGTACAAAGGAACTGAATGACTTTCTTACCAGTTGCTTTGTAAGCGCGGAGGCAAAACGAATTGCTTTGCTGTCATCGGCCTCAACCGCGGTAGACTTTTTTCCATTGCGTCTTTTCTTGCGTTTTGGGAGACAGCGTTTACAACACCAGAAGATGAAAATGAGACCGAAGGTTACCGAGATGGTAATGATCAACGCTCTTGAGGCAACCTGATCTGGGTTTTTTTGTAAAAAATAAAGATTCAGAACGAAACGCAAAAATCTTCTTCCAGTTCTTGCAATAGTTAATGACTAGCAAGCCTATTCAGCTGAAAATCAAACGAACAGTCGGTGAAACTTTTAAAATTTTAGACAGCGTTATCTGAGCTACTAAGGCTAGATCAATGTTTACTGTGGAAACGCACACACTGCTGTGACCGGCATTTTTGTATCAATAGGTTCGTGTACCCGAACAAATTTGGAAAGCGATGTTACGGTGAAATATGTGGACTATTACTGAAAAAAGAAGTAAAGCTTTAAAAAAACACTTGAAACATATTTTTATCAGACCTCATGCATCCTCTTACTTTGAAGGAGTGTTATTTTAATATTTTTGAGAATGATATACTTTAAATAAAAAAATCAACGATTGCTTGAATCAATTGTATCCACACCTACTTCGCATGTTTATCCTTAGAAGACGTCAGTATAAATGACAGGCATAACGCCGGTTTGAAATAAAGCATTTAGTCTGCAATCCTACCTACAGAAGGAAAAGCCAAATCTTATTCTTAAACTACCCCGTTTAATTTGCTTTGGTATTTAAAGGTAATTTGAAAATATATGTGAATGTTGCACGTAACCTAATTGTCCCTTGCACTTGAGGTGTGGGTTGCCCCACGTATACTGGTGCTGTAATTAAGGTTAGTGCACCTCAATTCTGCAGTGCGTGGTAAATATGTTTTGTGCATTTTATCATCTTAACTGTGTTATAAAATTGCTCGAAAACAGTAACGTATGCCTGTTCACTGCGTACAGTGTCTGCTCGAAAATGTGAAAGGAGTGTGTATAGGACTGTGGTTTCGTTGTGATCTTTGGCAATAGCGATAGAGGATTGCGGAGATTCTCCTCTGCCGTAAGACAAAACTTCGGGACAGAGATTGTGTTTGTGATTTTAAGCTATGCTTGACATTTGGAGGAAAATGCAATATGAGAGAAAGCTATTGAAAAGTCATCCCTACCGACATTCGTGGCCTTGTGTAAAAGAGTGCATTTTGCGTGAAATCAAAATTAAAATGCGTGCTACCAAACTTGACACGTATGTAATTAACCTAGAACTCTCATATTGTGGTCATATATCGTATTGAAAAGCATACTAAATGCTGATATGTTTCATTTAGAGCAGTACTACTGATAGGTCGTTTGGACCCAAATAGTTAACTTGCTAAGGTTTTTACATGCACATACTGCCTGGTCTTCGTGCATTTTTGAAAGAAACCGCACTTTATGCCTGCAGTATTTGCACACTCTATTTCAGCATGTACAAGCTTATGAGTGCGCCCCTCTCTACGGCCATACTATCCCTAGTTGAAAGAGTAAGTCTGTATTTTCATGCATAGTGTTCTGCTCATTAAAAAAGTTTCATTATGTGTGGGCATAACAGAGGCTATTTCCACCAGTTGTACGAAATTAGTAGGCAGCAACTGAATAACTTTTCGGAAACGTGCAGTGAAGTCTCCTAAATAAACTTTTCTTGTGTGAGCGTTTTCTTCGCTGGCAGCTGTCTTCGGAGTTAATTTATCGGATAATTTAAACTAGGGTAAATTGTCAATCCAACATTAAAAAAACTGGATCCTGGTTTAAGTTTAAAAAGTAGTGAACATAAGGACTGCAGAAACCTCAAATGGTTGCACAATAAAGAACTAATTTAAATTAACAAACAATTTATCTTCGCTATAACAAACCCATAAATACAAATTCCTGCTATGCTATTCGCGGCATTTATAATTTTTGTTAAATGATAACATTATGCCTGAACGATTAACCTGGGCAGCACATATTTGAAAAACTCCCAAATATATTTTATACTTCTACACTGAACTTAAAGTATCCTTCATTGTTCTCCTTTACGCTCTGTAAATAATTGAATTTACTGTCGTCATCTGTGCTTCGATACAAATGAGGCAGCTATTCATTTTCCCCAAAAACATATTGTCATGCGGTATTTGCGTGCAATGTTCTAATGAGATATTAAAGTGACACAAAAAAATGCTTTAAGCGCAAAAATTGGCAAAACGCTTTAAAATAAAACTGCTCCACCTGCATCATGTGACCTTACCGATGAAACATGATGAGTAAAGATTAGATAAACCATTTAAGGCAATGAAAACGTCATACATTAAACTTATTGGTCTGCCCCGTTTCAGAAGATGTACTTTTTGCAATTGTGAAATTTTTCTACTTGTTTTATCAGTTGAAAAAATGAAGAGCGAATCTACGCTGGCCTATATGCGGCTCATTTCTTAATATAATAGCTGCGCAATCTTTACGCGTCTGTACGTGGCTGTAATGGCCCACTATGCTGGCTCTTCACAAAGCAAATACAGACTACGAAATGGTTTGCCATATCACATAATTGTAAGTCAGGCAGGCGTTACTATTTATGCCAGTGGGATAATTAGCGACTAGTGTAAGAAGAAATATTTCTGTGCTTGCCTTTTACTTATGCATTTTTACTGCGAACCGCTCTTTTCTGTACCTCTCTGACCAACAACACTTTTTATACACCGATTTGTCTGCAAGATTTTGTTGCAATTAAAAAGCGTACTAATCGCTACGGGGAATCTTTTTGTCGTCTTCCACTACTTTTTTAAAACCGGTAAGTGAAGTTTTCCCTTGAGCCGACAAATACAGTATCCTACCTTGCGCATAAAATATCATGAAGGAACTAGAAATTTTCTGTCGAAAACATGGTGCATTACATTTCTTTTCCGGATGCGTATCGGAAAATATTATTTTTTGCACACAGCATATACCTTAAACTTTATAATATCACTCAAAACGTCTGGAGATTTAAAACATACTTCTTTATTACCCTTTAGTCAGACCACTCCCGTGTTTAACAGCTGTTAGGATTTTTTGCGAATATAAATCTGCTATCTTGTAGACAAGCGAAGCGAGCTCTTGGCAATGTTACCAAGCAAGGCTTGCCGCATTTTGCAAGCGATTTTCGTTAAGACGTAGGCTATGGGAAAAAAGTTATAAGCAAGCAGGACCTTTTCAGAAAAATAGATGACTTTTCTATTTTCGAATGTGGAGTTTCCTACTTAACGTGCTATCGTGCGCTACAGTACAGTAATAATGAATAATAAAATTCCATCTATAAGCATTCTAATATAGTCCTAAGTTTCGCAAAAGCGTTATGAAATAGTGTGGAAATGACAACATCTAACGGTCATTTCACATTCTGAAATTACGGTGTAGTAACTGCGTATACGTAAGTTATACATACAAACAACAGAACATTAACATTTTAGAAAATAGGTAAAGGATGTAGCGTACTCATAATAGTAATATGGAGTCTAAAAATAAGAAGATGTGGCTAAATGGATGCTTAATTATTTCAAGAAAAAGTGCACATCACACCAAAGTGCTGACTAGTTGTTGGCTTGGCCGTGCGAAGAAGGTTATTTACATCACCACAATGTTCTTTAAAAGGTTTCCATAAATATCTCATATGGAACCCTTCAAAGGGAAGGCACTTGAACTCATTTGCAAAAGTCATATATTCAAGAATATATCAAGCAAACGCAGAAACGCAACACATTTTACCATCAAAAGATGTTGCGTACCTGCAATAGCATTTGACATTGGGCGGACTTTTAGTATGTGACCTAATGGAAACGTTTATGACTGTGATGCTACTATCAGAAAGATCAATCCTCTTTAATGTAATCATCGCCATTTTAGACCGCAGGGAAAATTAGCATGCAGCAGTTTAGCACAACATACTTTTGTAACAAATAATGAGATATAACAAACCTTACTTTGACCAGATAAAATTGGTAAAAAAATGTTTGACCCTTAGCCTGGGCATACTATTTTTCTTTTACAACTCGAATCTACTCATGCACCACTAATTTGTATATTTTCAACCTTTCCCGTGTGTCTAAAGGAAAGAGTTTTTAATGCTCAAAATACACTTTCAGAACTTGCTTTGCAGTTTATCTTACCCAGAGGTCGTTAATTATTAGTTGGGTGCTTTGGGGCGCGCGTTTGCACTGGTTTCAGACTGGTTGGTGGGGTTGAGATAATCTTAGCAAATTACATGTTTCTGGTTATGTACTTTGTCTAAAAATGCACACAGTAGGAAAAAAAGAGCTTAAAATACCTACATTTCTCGCAGTTGCATTAGTTTGCAGAAACTATGCAAACTGCAATTCCTTTGCCCAAGACACAATCGAGGACCCCCCGATGTTGTTGTTTTCAGCATTTCAAATAAGGGATCGTCTGATAGCTCTCTTCAAACAAGTGAAGCCTCCAGAAACGTGTTAATATCGTTTAATATGAGGATAAAAAAATCCGAAGCAGATACTAGGAGCAGCATATAGCGAGAGCCAGGAGCCAGAATATTCACTATCTGAAGATGGATAGACTGGACAACTATATGAAACGTCAGATAAAAAACCCCTCCCGGTGAACGCCCTCTCTCCAACTCAGATACTAGGCTGTTCGATATTAAAATGGGCAGCCTGCGAGCGATAAGTGGCTGGCCAAAAAGCCAGCAATCACATAAGATTGATTTACTAGTCATAAAACAACTTCTCTGTTTATTCTGAAACACTCTTACTAAGTGGACATGGATATACAAACAAATTAATCCGGACAAATAGGCCCTCTATATAGCATTTTGACTTCATATCCGTGTACCGCTTCCAAAAATAGTCTTCATTAGCGACCTTAAGCACTATTGTGGGTTTGTTTCACGTTTGTCAGGCATAACTGAATCTGACGTGGGATGTAGATTATGTGTGCAGCGAAAAGTCTGCAAATATGACTTCTGCCTTCTGGGCAACATTACTGCATTTAAATACAACCTCCTTGTTTAGCTTATTTTCTTTGGCCGATAGCGAGGGAGAAATTAATTCTGATCAAATTTACACTTAACTATGAGCCTACCATATTTACGAAATCAAATGGTAGTCGAAAAATTATTTTTATTGACAGTTTAAGAAAGAGCGAGATAGAGAGAATACAATTGAAGAAATCGAAAATTTGCCGAATTTTCCTGTCATATTTATAATACTATTTGAGGTTGCCTCATAATGTTTGCCCAGATTTGTCGATGGAAACCACAGCATAGAGCGTAGCAGGCAGCGAGAATCATAATAAGTCCTGAAAAGCGGTATTTCGAACAAGAAATTATATGAAAGACGAGCATTCTACAAAACACACTAGTATTCAGCTTAAACGCTTTACTCGTCAGCAAAGTTGACACCGTAAAAGCTGTCCTGACTCACGGGTCCATGAGTGTGTTAACACTGCCAACGAAGGCACAACATAATATGTTCTCATTCTCACTAATCGTAATCTAAGCTGGACTCACTTTGCGGTATAACCTAACATCAAGCAGTTTTTTTTCATTTTAATTCATAGGCTCCTTCCTAAATTATGCGTGTACTTGGGAGACAGCTACGTTATCATTGCTGAATAATAAAGGCATTTATTGAATATGTGGGATCAATAGCTCCCAATTCAGTTCAATGCCGTCTTAGATGCGTGTAGTAACATTTTGGGATTGTCAATAATTCGTCAGTATAAGTTGAGCTTCACCATATACACGCAAATGTCTCTCTGGTGCTGGAAGTACTTTTTAATAGTGTATACAGTAGTCGCCGGCTATTAAGCCCACGGCTAATAAGCCCAGCCGCGCATTAAGCCCACGTCAGTTTGGGACGGAATTTTACATAGCAAAATCCTCTGGCTAATAAGCCCAATCGCCGGCTAAATAAAGCCCGTCGCCGGTACATAAGCCAATTTGCCGGATGTGATTTGTTTTCATTTTCAAGTTAAATTTGGTGACCACCCTTTTCGGACAGCAGCAGACATGAGGGGTGAAGAGGAAGAATCCCTAACACGAGAAAGCCGCAGGCGCAAAAGGCTAACGCACCCGAACCGCAGCCCTGAGGACACACACACACAAAAAGGGAACAANGCGTTCAGGTTCACGCTAGACGATGCCGACAGGCGCTGCCCCAAAGCATACCAAAGTCGTCTGGCTAGC